CGGGTGAGACTGGCTCCCCGGCAACCCGCAGAGAGCCTGGCGAGCACGGTATGGCCCCTGTTCCCACGCAGTGGGGCTGGCTGTGTGCACCACAGCTGGGAAGCATTCTCTCCCATTGCGGGGGGATGCTGTGACGTGCGCCAGAGGCACACAGCTATTCTGTCCTCCTTCCAGCGAAAGGCAGAAAGAGTGGCTTGGCTGACCTGAAAGGTTCGATGAGCCGGGCAGCGGGGAAGAAGATCACCAGGATCATCAGCTTCTCCAAGAAGAAGCCTTCCCCCGAGGACACGCAGACCTCCTCCACCGAAGAGGACGTCCCCTGTTGCGGTTCGTGCAGGCTCAGAGCAGAGATGAGGCTCAGCTCGTGTGGAGCTGGGAGCGGTGGGGAGCTGGCATTGTTTCCCCCAGCCTGGTCATACAGGGGTCAGGAGGGGGGCAAGGGGACAGTGAGGGAGCTGCTGGAGGGCTGAGACACTGCCTCAGGCTACCAAATGGTGCTCAGTCCCAGCTCTGCAAATTCCTGTAGTGCGTGGGGAAGGGGCAAGGAGTCTACCTGTGTCCCAGAAAACAGGCCTAGGTGACTGTGTGGCACTGAGCTGGCACCTCACCTGGATCCGGGGTGTCCCAGCTGCCTCTCTGTGGGGAAACAGGCACAGAAGGACCAAACTGGTAGGGAGCCATGCTGTAATCTCTGGGCAGCCATGTCTCGTTAAAGTCTGCCTGAGGTCAAGCCAAGAAGGAACTGAGACCCTTCCCTTGTCCCTGCCGCTCCCCAGGCTACCTCAGCGTCCTGGTTAACCAGTGCTGGAAGGAGCGCTGGTGTCGTCTGAAGGGCAATACCCTCTACTTCCACAAGGACCGCACTGACCTGCGGACCCACGTGAACGCCATCGTCCTCCGGGGCTGTGAGGTGGTCCCAGGTCTGGGCCCCAAACACCCCTTCGCCTTCCGCATCCTTCGCAATGGGCAGGAGGTGGCTGCGCTGGAGGTGAGCAGGCAGTGGGGTGGGCAGGGCGTGCTGGTCTGTAAGGGGGTGGCTGGGGGTTTGGGACTGCATGTGCCTCTGTGCCTGGCACACACACTTTGTGTCGGAGAGCTCTTCTCCATGGTGGGGCTTTGTACTGGGAGGCAGGAGTAAGGGGCTGGGAGCTGGACATGCACCCCAACCCTTTCTCTCTCCTGCAGGCAAGCTGCTCCGAAGACCTGGGCCGCTGGCTGGGTCTCCTCTTGGTGGAGACGGGCTCGAAGACGGCACCGGAGGCCTTACACTACGACTACGTGGATGTGGAGACAATTGCCAATATAGTGACAGCTGTGAGGCACTCCTACCTGTAAGGCTGTCCTCCTGCTGTGCTGCAGCCTGGGAAGGGGCCGTGCCAGGGGACAGAGCGTTGGGCTGGGGGTGGCGATCCACAGCCCTGTGTGTTCCCTAGAAAAGGCACAGGGTGGGACACAGTTTGTGCTGTGATCTCAGGGCACACCAGAGTCCCAGGTGTTCCTGAAGCAGGGTAATTTCCTTCTGGCAGGATGGAAAGCAGAAGGTGTTTCATCACTGCTGATGAAGGACTTAAGGGATATGCATAGTAGAGTAGGGTAGGGTAAAGTGCTTGTGAGTAAAGCCGGGAGAGAAATGCAGGAAACCCTCTGAGATATCAGGGCTCGCTGAGGGGCTGGCAAGGATCGCTTGGAAAGGAAAACCCCATCCCTCCTCCTGCAGGTGGGCCAGCTCCTCCCAGGACCACCAGCCAGACTCCTCACGTGTGGTGTATGATGACGTCCCCTACGAGAAGGTTCAGGTGAGCGTGGCTCCATGGCTCGTCCTCTCCCACCACTGTGGCTGAGTTACAGAAGATGCCCCGGGGTGCCTTGGCCAGGCTGTGATGTTTCAGCATGCTCTCCCTCCCATCCCTGCTGCAGACCGAGGAGGAGCCAGGGCGGCCGTCAGGAGCCCAGGTGAAGCGCCATGCCTCCTCCTGCAGTGAGAAGTCAAGGCGGGTGGACCCGCAGGTGAAAGTGAAGAGACACGCGTCAAGTGAGTGGGGACCCTCAGCTCCAGGCTTCTGCAGGGGCACCCTGGGGGGATGCTGTTTCCCCGAGGGGTTCTGCAGCCAAGCTGGGGCTGGCAGGCTCTGGCACACAGGTGATGGGTTTTGCTGCTCCAGCTCAGCTGGACTGCAGGTAAAATCGGTTCAGCCGGGGCCGGAGCCTTCATGGTGGGCTCTCCTGGTGTGTGCAGATGCCAACCAGTACAGGTACGGGAAGAACCGGGCTGAGGAGGATGCCAGGCGATTTCTGACGGAGAAGGAGAAGCTGGAGAAGGAAAAAGCATCGATCCGCAGCGAGCTGGTGTTGCTGCGGAAAGAAAAGCGAGAACTGCGGGAAGCCATGAAGGGCAGCACGGGTAGGTTGGTGTCGTCTGAGCACTGCAGCTGTGGCTAC